GGCTTCCCGTCCGCTCAGCCGTACTTAAGCCACACGCCGGGAGGTTAGTAGTTGGGTGGGTGACCACCAGCGAATCCCTTCTGTTGTATGTTTTTATGTCTTCTTTTTTGCGGCTGGTCGGGACTGCTAAACATGGCCTTAAGCTATCGAAGACCAGCTACTCAATACGAACAAGCTAATTATGAATGTCATCTACCTCCACAGAGATATCCCTCTGAATGAATGTGGCTAGCCAATGTAAAACCAGCCAACAGGGCATGCATGACTTTAGACGGAAAAGACGAGTAAAGACGCTTCTCGATGATTGTACAGTGCGGGAATCATAGGGTAACATATATATATTCTACTAGACCCATAGACCTTGGATTTATGTTATATTTTTGGGGCGAGACTACGGTGAGTGCGCAATAGACAGGATGAGATCCTCAGCACCAGCTTAAGCTTGCCAGTAGAGCTCTTCTCACTAAGCTAACGACCTAAATCTTCTTGCGGTAAGCTGAGATGTTATATCTTGACACCTACACAAGCAGGTCTTTCAAAGAACCATTTGCAGACGAGTCAACTGCGCCCGGCATGGAGATGATGACCTTCAAGCTGCCGTGCTTAGACGATTTCTCAAACGCCTCGTACGCGTTCTTTATATCATCAAAGGCAAAATCTGGAGCGGAAGGCCAATTAGCGCACGTTAATATACATCTATGAAAAAGTGTAGAGAGTGGGAAACGCACGATGTGTGACCAGGAAACTCGGGTCGATGCGCCCTCCCTCCACCATCTGCAGCAGATCGAGTGTTGAGACAGCGTCAATGAGTCGTGTCCGTAAGCCTAGCGGACGTTAGCAAGGGAAATAAACACAATAAGATGAAGAGGACCTACAGATATTGCGATGCCACAGCTTCTCCAGGCGCAGCTCGCACGAACACCCGAAGACCCCGAGCGAGGCAATCGTGCCACCGGGTCCAACAAGCCCCTGCGCCATCTCAAACGACTCAGCATTTCCCACAGCCTCAATGACAACATCGAATCCTCTGCCACCCACAGAGACCGCCACAGTGTCCTCAACGACCTTTTTCACGCCGCCCGCGCCCAGAACACTAAACGCATGGTCCGCACCCATGGCCCTTGCCATCTCAACCCTCCTCATCCCACGTCCAATAACAACCGTAACGCTCGGCCCAAAGAGCCTCCTGCTCATCTGCAAACACATCAGTCCGATCGGCCCCGTCCCGATAATAGCAACACTGGATCCCGGTGTGATATCACCGTTCAAAATTCCGCACTCGTACGCCGTCGGCACTGTGTCGGACAGCGTCACCGCCACGCTCTCGTCGATGGCTGCAGGTAGCCCATGTAGTGAGAACGCGGCGTGCGGAACTCGCACAAACTCCGCCTGCGTGCCGTCGATTGTGTTCCCCAGTATCCAGCCGCCGTCGACGCATTGTGACGGCATACGCCGCTGCCGGCAGTAGTGACATGTCCCGCATGAGGTGATGCAGGATATGAGGACTTTCTGACCGACGGAGAAATTGGCGATGGCGGCACCGAGCGAGTCGATGATCCCAACGCCCTCGTGGCCGAGAATTCGGCCTGCTTTTGCAGTCGTGACGTCGCCGGCGAGGATATGCAGGTCTGTGCCGCAGATTGTTGTGTGCAGGACGCGGATTATGGCGTCGGTGGGGTGCAGGAGGGTTGGTTTAGGCCGCTCCTCGATGGAGATTTGGTTCAGGGCTTTGTAGATGACAGCCTTCATTATGCTGATTGACTGTGGACAGCGGGGTTTATAGTGGACAAAGTTATTTAGGCCTATGGGAGTTTGCTGATACAACTAAGAGAAAGAGAGACGAATTAGGGTAGTACTTATACACCGACGGTCTGCGGGGGAATAGAAACGGAATTGGGTAAAATATACAACTTCGGCAGAGCGATCCTTGTGAGGAAAGTCAGCTGCAGGAGACGAGGCAGGCGGCTACAGGTCTGCTTGGCTATGCACGAAAGGTAGGGGCCTAGGGCATGCCAGATAAGATTGAATGCAGTCATGCAGTGTTCTAGTAGAGCTAGTTGGCGGAAAGTCAGGGAACGTTGCATGAAAGTGGGATGCCAGGGGCCTATTATACCCTAGGCTGTACCCTGATTTGTCCGCTAAGAATCAGCCATTCGATAGAGATGGGCTTAATTTGGGAATAATCCCCAGCTGGGGGTTACGATCCTTACAGAAGAACATTTCCTTAGTGCCTGGAGTAAGGCTATGATTCATGGGAATCGAACGGTCAAAAGCCAGGAAAAATCTGTCACGGAGAATTTTTCGTGCGTCGTGTAGGCTCAAAACTAGTGTAGATTAGCTCTGGCCATGCTTATGGGCCTAAACCTTGCGCTCAAGTATTCAGAACCAACGCCACTCCGCCCTAATCACCCACTACAACCACATCCCTCCGTGAACCGTCTTATCACGAGTAATTGATAATAACAGGCGGAATTGCACACGGCAGACTCTGCAAGTGCACCTTCACCATCCGCCCCGCTGAGTTCTTTCGCTCAATAGAGGGATATGCCTCGGATGATAGTTTCCCGCCGTTATAGTACTCCGGGTGTAGCTTGGTTGCCGTATCATCATCAGGTAGATCAACCTGTGCATCGCACCAGAAATCGGAATGATGGTACCCCACGACAACGCTGAATGTGTGGCCAGACGAGGCCCTAATTCGAAGCATACCGGATGTGCCGCTTCCGCCGAGAATGAGGGTGAGCTTGTGACCGGTATCTTCGGTCCAAGCGCCACCGTTGGCGTAGTACCAACATGTCTTCTCGATTACAGTGAGTGCATCCTCGGTGTCATTGACGATCACTACGGGGAGAGTGTAGGGCATCGTGCTGCAGGTTTCGGTATTGCGTTCCATGGCAGTTTGGGGTTGTAGAGAATTACCACGGATGTATTTTGCAAGGCGAGAGAAAGATCCTTCAGGTCAATGGTAGGGTTGTGATCCGAAAACCTCACTTTGGCAATCGGACGACCTTAGTCTAAATACCTTGAGGATATTTACATGTATGCCGTCAATACAAGAGGGGTTTGTAGTTGATTTGTGGCTGCAGCTGAACTGCACCGGACAGGCCGCACCTGGAGTGCAACTGGAAGTATGGTTGCAACCCCTACTGGACATCTAGCGGACATCGTGCAACTCACAGTCCCAGGTGGCAGAGAAAATGCAACGTAGGCTCATGTTTTTTGGCTCCCTATTATGCAAGCCTCATACGCCCAGCTTTTTCTTGCTCTTTACCACCATTCGCAGGTGCCGGCTATTTTATCCTGATTTTGCAACCCGCCTGTTCGCTTCCAGTGACCCACCAATCAGACGGTTATTCTGTATGCCGATAAGCAAAGAAGGCAACGGAGCTTATCCCGCGCTAGAGCGAAAACTCGAAGTGACAGGAATCTGAAACTAGTTCAGGGTCCAGGCCCTGGTGGCCTTTGTGCCCCGATTAAATGTTCGTCGGGATCTGCCGAATCATCGGGCAGTCGCCAATAGTTTACGGATCAGCCAGCTGTCATATGTATGTTTGCTTAGGTAGCCCCAACTCTGCAATTTTCTAACTTCGCGGCTTGCGGTCTTTCCCGGTCGGCAACTCAAAGAGAAGCCCTTTAGGGAACGATTTCGTTGATCTTGGAACGACTGTGCGGCTCTACGTGTTCCTTGAGAACAGGATTGGCAGTTCAACTTTTCCTCGCAGTCAAAACAGACTTGTGCTAATGATTTCCCATGTTTGAGAGAAGGAAAATTTTGAATGGGGTAATCGAGGGGTCAAAATGAAATTATCAAGAGATAGTAAATCATTATCATGTGTCGCTCTAACTCCACTCGTTCATGCAAAATATCACTAGTCTCGACCGGCTGATGAATTCTCTGATCTCAGTCAACCTCAGCTACGCCTAAACTCTCGTGCCCCGCTATACGGTCTACTGCTCGGCGTCACCGGATCTCTTTTCTCTCGCAAAACGGAATACCTGTTAAGGTATCTTTTACAATGGTAGGTTTGCAGGGCCAGTGACAGCACAGCCTGGGCGCACTTGACGCTACCTAGAGTAATGGAAACCAGCCCGATATTCCCCCGCAAATAAATAGACAGGTTAGAATTAGTTGAGAACAGCGCTGGAGAATAGGCAGTGTATCTATTATAAGTTTATATTCATCCCAACCACAGCCATTGATTTTGCCAACATTTCTTGTGTACAATAGAAAGCCACCAGTACTCTCCACCATGTCTTTATCCGGAAGCTGTTTATGTGGGGGCATCACCTATACCGCAGAAGTATGCAGTGCTCATCTCAGTCTCAATTCTTTCCGACTTGAGGCGACGGGCAATCTGAGCGTTCCTGGTCTACTTGCTTAAGACTAAAGTTTTCACCCTGTACAGTTTGAGACTGCTTTCCTTTATACCGCACGTACCATCGCAAACGAAAACCCTTAGCAGCCAATTTGTCATGCGTTCCCTCACGGTCGCTCGTGGACCAAACCAGCCATCTAGTGCCAGTTTCTTCCCCAATCTGATTCCACATGTGTGCAAAGCTGGCTGAGTTGTGTAGCAAAATGGAATAGTCAAGAGTTGGTACCTTCCAAAGACCAGCATCTTCTTTCCCAAATTGGACACCGGTGATCAGGTCACCTTCTTGCAGAGAAAGATAGCCAATGATGCATTTAGCAACGCTAACCTGTCCTTTCCAGTCCCATAAATGCAGGAAGTAACCGGAGTTTATGACACGTATGTGGCCAGCTAATTGGGCAAGCTTTGGACTAGGCTTCAAAAAGTCATCCACTAGGAATGTCGAGTTTAATGTAGCCTTATCCCGAAAAAATTCAAAACCGAGTTCTATAAAGTACTTGTCTTTGTCTAAACCGACAATGTTCTCAGCTGGGGCGCCATCATACACCAACCGACGTATTTCCTGACCGAGGCCGCACCCCAGGTCTAGCATGATCGAGGACGCTTTGAGGTTGGATATTATTTCGTCATAGACTGGGGATCTAGACAGATCAAAATCCACGAAAGATAGCATACCAAAGCACGGATATCGCACTCTGTCCCATCCCGCGTTTGCCTAGCAATCGATTAGCTTTCAATCTATATAGTAACAAGGGAAAATCCTTCGTACTATATGCTTAACGTGTGACTCCAAACGATCCGATTTTACGTCTTTTATGTAGCTCCGGAGGAAAGCTTTCGTCTCCATAGGCAGGTCTTCCCAAGCAAGGCGCAACAAGTCCCAACTTAGGAAATCCGTAACTTGATGGGACATACTATTATATCGTTAAATGGCCTTGTACGGGGGAGATCTTCTTTTAAGACAATTGTGAGGTGACGTTGCGCTCTTTGTTGTGGTAGTGTGGCTTAGTTGATATATGATCACTACGAGTTCGGAGGGGTTGGGAAATAATTCGAACGCGAATGTGTCACAACATGACGTTTGGAATGATGTTTAGGTAGGACAAAGTAAGGAACACATGACGTGACACGAGAAATGTGATGACCATGGAACTTTCCATCACAGTGCGGAAGTGTGTTACTAGAACGGTCGGCTGCATTAATGGGAGGCGGGATGGCAACTAAATGATGTCTGAGGGGTGTTCATCCCATAATATTATTTGTTAATACTAAGATACTTATGTCTTATTGTAGTAGCTAGTTACGTAAGAAACCTTACTATATTAAATCAGCATGGCGTAATGCAGCAGCTCTTCCAGGGGTAGAAAGAAGGTGGCATAGATGCTGCGGTCGGGTTCACAGTGGGTAAAAGATGAACATAACTAACACTATAGACGGTGCGGTTTGAAAGATCAGCCTCATAGTTTGTCACACTTTCTTCTCTTGAAGAGAAAGAAGATGAAGGAGCAGAAGAAGGGTAGTGGTGGCCTAGCGGTATCTATTGAATCAATTATAACTGGTCATTTCTATATTCAGATAATAGTCTACCAGACTGGTCTGCAAGTGTGATGAGATGGGGTTTTGTGGTTAACGCACCAAATCGCGGCAGAGTAGCGGGTGTGTACTGTTGATTTTCGTTCCAATTGTATCGAGTTGGGTGATCATAAAGCTGTAGTCGAAGTACTATTTTGTTCAGATATACATGCTATAAAGCAGACGCTGAGGGGTAGCTTGAGAAGCACATGGAGCTTGAGAAGCACACGGAGATGCAGGAGGCCTGGATGGTGTGATGTTTATTTTGAGATAATCTTTCGCTGCAGGAATCTGGCTGCCCCCCTTCCGGGTGCCCGGCATGCATTGAATCATTGAAATTGAAGACATGAGACATGCACATTATTTCACTAGCGCACACTGCCTGACCAACCCAACACAAAGTTTTACTTGAATTGACTTCTATGTCTACTCGCACCAAATGCGATAGGGCCTCAGCTAAACTTAATGAAGTTTCAGCCAAAGCAGTCGACGTGAACCCAATGGAAACTCAAGGGATGGGTGTAGAATCCCCCCTTTCTTTGCGGAATTAATGTCCTTCATATTCTGTGAGACGACACTTATGACAGTGTTGTTCTACTAAATTGCCTACCAGAACTTCGAATTGTCACTTTCAGCCACGACCATATCCACATACTCTGCAGGATTTCTTCATTGGTTTTTGGAATGGACACCTCGCCCGACATTCGAGGCTACCGGAGGGTGTGCAGCGTGGTTGACTTTTCAGGCTCTGCTGTATGTCGCACTCCCAGGACCAACTGTCTTCGGACCGCCAAACCCTGGTGGTCGACGATTGAGATACAAGCTGAATGGCTTAGCAGCGTGGATTGCATTGGTCAAAACATGGAGAGATCTCGTAGCAGTTACGAACATCTTTTCCATCACCCTCATCCTATTCCAGATCAAGGCCCGAGTGGCGCCCGATAATGCACACGAAACTTATTTAACAGGCAAGCAGTTTTCCCTTCACGATCCTTATTACGCTTTACATGTACAGGTTAACGATATGTACGCGCTAATGACCGGTCACAGGATCATTTTGGTATGATTTATTCAAAGGAGGTCAGCTTCACCCACGTATTGGCCAGTACTGGGACTGGAGGCATTTCCTCTCTACTCGTTCCGGGGGCATCATTGCATCGACATTAATGTAAGACCCAAAATCATATTTTCTCAAGAATAACAGAGAAGCTAACGCTCGCCTGTTGATCTTTGTTTTGCTGCATACCAGCATGAGCAACATGAATACCTGACGGGCACCATGTTTACAGTTGTTTTATTCCGCGCGGTCATGGTCGTAGTCTTCTTCGTCAATGAAGAGGTGTATGTCCTACCAATAAAAGAGTAAAAGAACATCGTTCAATATTTAGAAGGCGTCCACGCTTTCCACACCTAGGACGGCAAATACGAATCGTTTGGCTGCGACAATATTTACGGACTCTCTGCAATCATGCCGGTTTTCTGGACCTTGCAAACCCGGTATCTTGCCAAACACCCAACAGAGATCTCCCTCCCTGCTTGGATCGCCAGCATAGTGATCTTTGTAGCGGGCTGGTCTTTGCGCTTCTTCGCCGACCTTCAGAAGATGGGTTTCAGTAGAACGCAGGCAAAGTGCTTGTTACCGGGTCGCCAGACACAAGGGATACCTGTATCTTATCAGACGAGGAATGGGAAAACCCATCGTTCTCTACTTCTCTGCTCCGGTGCATCTATATCTAGTTGCGAATTATCCCAATTTAAATTGTGGGGTTTCTTGCTAGACTGCGGGACGTGGCCCGTCATGTAAATTACGCTGGAAGCGTGTTTTATACATGGTCGTTATGCTCGCTCTGCGGCAATGGGGCCGTCTTTGCATACACAGAAGCCATTTTGGTTACAGGGATGATCATCCATCGGTGTTTACGGGATGTGAAAAGATGTGCGAATAAGTATGGGTCTGGGATGAGTATTGTCTCCGCATTCCCTGGAGAATCTTTCCTAGCGTGTTCTGATCGCGTGGAAAGAGGATACTCATCACTTATCATCAATTTGTAAAACGACTCCTGCGTTGACTATGCTAGTGTCTCACCTGGATTAGGTAATTTAGCACATGAAGGAACAGATTCCGTTATACTGCGCCATGATACTAGTAAATGCGACCGTATACGATCAATGTTGTTGCAACATTACAGGTGGCACGTCTCCATCTTCACCCCAGAACAACGCTGTGCTTGCTTGATATGTACAACCTGGTCTCTACCGCGACTTCATTGCCCTTCTGAGGGTAGAGATTGGACGCTAAGCTCACCATTGGCCGTGGCCATGTCCTTGGATTTGTTAAGCGGTCTGGACTCGTGGGTTCTCATAATGCCCCCGTCAATGTTTTATGCAATAGAGCTGTTGGTGGCATGCATCTGGCCGTGTAAGCTTCTGTCAGCTCGGTAGATACGTCACATCTGCTGTTGAGGCAAATGCAGGATCCTGAAACCGGAAGTATCCGCCATGATGATCCCAGCTTTGCATGATAATGCATTCTCTACCAGTCATAGACGTGAGCCAGCACCGAGTATGCGGACAGTGAAATCCTTCACCCACCTACTGTGTTACCAACACAATTGCTCATTGGCGCACTCAAAGCCTGTTTTACCCCTTACTTTATTGGAATGGGGCTGACCCGGTGTGTCGCATCACAAGAACGTTCAGCTCAACTTTGGCCAATATTTCAGCACATGGGATCGTTTTGCTGGAACTTATGGTGATCCTATGCGGTATCGCAGGGGCAAAGGTGGCACAAAGCTCTCCAAATAGAATACTGTACGTTTGACGGAGGGCTTCCATGCGCGTTTGTCTTCCTAGAAACCATTTAGAAATGGAATGGCCTTTTTTCTATCTTGATATTTTGACTAGTGCCTCCGGACATTCCAAAAGGGGTGTTCTTTAACTTTGGTGAGTAAGTGTCGGGGAGAGGCGTGAGAGTTAGGGGTATTTGAGAGATGATATGACGTCAAGTTACGTATTTGATATAGACAATGTGTCCTCTTCGAGAGGTGCATATAAATTCTTGTCGTAATCTGAACCTTGTATAAGGTGCTTTGAATTTTTTAGGAGTACCTCTTCTCATCTCCAACACTGCTAGAGGCTGCAAAGGCAACATCGACAAATTTCGATAGTAAAGTACTCGAGAACCTGGCTCTCGTCTCTACCAATCCAAATTTCCCAGTTGAAAAAAGCAATGCAAGGTAAACAGACTCTATCCATTAGCACTTTGAAGAAGTTTGACCACAACCTGGTGATCTTTCTCTGCAGCCCAGTCCAGAGGGGTGCGTCCGGTCACATCCTTGGCGTTCACATCTGCTTTTCCTGTAGCAATGAGAAGCCTTATTACAGCCTCCTTGCCAGTCTCCGCTGCCAAGGATAGAGGCGTACGATCCTCCGAGTCTTTGCAGTCGACGCCTACCTCTTTAGTAGCAAGAAGGAGTTTCACCACTATGTCATGACCCTCCCAAGCAGCCCAGGATAAGGGAGTACGGCCCCTTATGCATTTTGAGTCAACGTTTGCCTTCCCTGTAGCAAGCAGGAGTTTGGCCACTTTCTCGTGCCCTTCCTTAGCAGCGAACGAGAGCGGTGATCTACCATATTTCCGATCCCTGATATTAACATTCACCTCCCCAGTAGCAAGAAGCAGCTCAACCACTGCATCGTGACCTGCCCATGCAGCCCAAGAAAGTGATGACATGCCATGGCTTTCATCTCTTATGTTAACATCAACCTCCCCAGTAGCAAGCAATCGCTTCACAATTCCTTCACAGCCGTTTATTGCTGCCATGAGCAGAGGAGTACCGTTATCGCGGTCCTTACAGTCAACCTCTATCTTTCTCGTATCGAGAAGGCGCCTCACTATGGCTTCGTAGCCTCCTCTTGCTGCCCAGTAAATTGGTGTCCTTAGCCTTGAATCCTTTGAATTGACATCAACCTTTTCGCTAGCAAGGAGAAGCTTTACCACTGCCTCTTTCCCAGATCGTGCTGCTAACGACAGGGGTCTAATTCCGGATGAATCACTGGAGTCGATGTCTGCCTTGCCAGTGGCAAGTAGGAGGCGAACTATTCCCTCGTGGCCATTCTCAGCTGCCAGTGCTAGCGGCGTACTGCCAGCCATATCCTTCGAATCGATATCTATATTTTCCTGGATAAGGAGCTTCACCACTTCCTGGTGGCCATTCTGAGCGGCCAATGACAATGGGCTTCGACCAACAGAGTTCCTAGAGTCGATGTCCACCTCATCTGCGGCAAGCAGAAGCCTCACAACTGCCGTGTGGCCACGTTCTGCTGCCCATAATAACGGTGTCTGATCGTATTCCGAATCCTTCGAGTTAAGGGTTGCTTTTCCAGTAGTAAGAATGGACTTGACCACGCCAGTGACGCCCATTGATGATGCAATCAAAAGCGTTGAAGTGCTGTCAGGAACAATATCCTCCTTTACGGCATAGATCTTAGACCATGTTCGAAATATATCCGACCTTGATTCGCAAAGTGACTTCGCGCGGTCTATTAGCGGATCCTCGTCTGGAATGCAAGCTTGGCGGAAATGGGTGGCCCAATAACATGATGAGTACTCTAGCATATATCCCTGGCATGGGTCATCTGGCTCAAGAGATATACAAGAAATGCATATTTCTGCGAAAATCCGGTTTGATTCACATGGATGGAGTGAATATTTCCAGGTTGTTGTGGGTTGGGAAAGAGCTCTGTTTGGAGTAGAGTTGCTATCCTGTACCAAGAACTCTTTCGCGGTCTGATGAAGAAGGTAGACCTTGTCATCCAGAATGATCACAAAGAGCCCGCAAAGGTCTCTCAAGGTTCTTCTGAAGCGATATATTGGTTCCATGTTATCAGCTATATCTGTCGAATCCTGATAACCTACACGAAGTGCTAGAGCCAGAGATAGTTCATCCAGGGAAAGAGGTCGCATGGCAGCTGTAATAATTTGAAGGAGGGTCTTTGCCTTCGCTTTATCAGTACTCCGACCCAATATCTTCTCATAGGCACTGTCGACAGTGGTAGGTAAGTCGCTCAGTATGCGGTGGACCTTGCCTTTAGAGAACTCCGGAGTGTTTTCGAGCACATCTAATATCAAGCTCACCCATAAATAAGTTCGATTTGAAACGCCAGTAAGCTTGTCTATGAGCATTTCGCACTCTTCATTCATCAAAGATCTCTGTCTGCTGATATCATGCACTCTTTCCGAGATAACAAGGTTTATTTCATGTGAAATCAGCTCAGCCTCTCTCTCGCCATCACCACTTAGGTGAATAGTGGGTAAAGCTGTGATGAGATCAGAGAGTCCACGTCGTATATGCTCATATGGTCTACTCGTGAACAAAAACTTCAGCTTGCTATTATTGTGGGGGCCTGAGTAGAAATCGTTGACGGCATTGATGAGCCGGTTCCGATCCTCGTCCTGGCACTCGTCTAAGGCATCAATGAGACATATTATCTCGTCCGCCTTGGGATTGGTCGAAACTGACATCAATATATTCCACAATTCTGAGAATGACTGGGTCAGCTGGTCACCATCAGTGTCCACCTTATCCAGAATTGCATCGTGCAAAAGGTGAGGCTGAGCAATGAATAGCTGCCTCAATATCACTGAAAGTGCGCTTGTTGCACTCTTCTGGTCAGCAAAATCGTCTTTAAAGAAGAAATAGCAGACTGTTCGCTTATCATTGCTGAGAAGAACCTCATCCACTAGATATCGAGTCAAGACCGACTTGCCGCATCCCGGATCGGCTGACACCCATAGTAGACCGGAGAGATCATCGCCTGAGCTTCCTTGCCACGCATGGAACTTATTGTGTCCTATGAACCACTCACAGGTCCCAGGGACACGCTTAGTGTTTCGGTCTTTCCGGTCCTTATAGGGACAAGTATAGAGCAGGTTAAGGAATCGTTTGACCTGCTTGTCTCGATCGGAAGTCGTTGTCCATGTATCGCGATCGCGTAAGGCCTCCAGTATCTTTTGATATTTCTTTTGAAGCTCTTCATGTCTTTGCCTTGATCCTGCATCTGCAATGACGCAAGTGGTTCGACCTATTGTATCCTGGTATTTCTCAAATTCTTGCAGCAGGTTGGTCCAGCCGTCCCGGTTAAGAACATCTCTCCAGAATTGAGATGCCCGAGGTCTGTGTAAATAGCAGAGCGCTCGGGCCTGGAATTCTAGGATCTTTGAGTAAAAAGAAATCATAGTTTTCCGAAGGTTGTCGAGGAGGCTAATATCCTGTTTTGTGCCAGAGTGCAAATAGAGGCGCTCCATTACGTGCAAACGGCAAATCAATTCAGAAATAGACGTTAAGCCTTGCAGAAGATGGGAATGTTGCTCTGCTGCTTGGATAATTGTCTGAGAATTGTTAGCTTATAGGCCATGCATGTCAGGGGGAGTACTCAAGCGCTGCTCACCGTAAAACAAGCCATTATTCCAGCACAAGCAAGTGAGGCTGGTAGACTTGCATTCGCCGCAGTAGTTACAATATCCTTAACCGCAAGGAGGTTTTGGAAGATCTTGGTAAGTTGATCCCGGACGATTATAGCATGAGCTCCAAGGTTTATCACCCACTTCTTCTCTTTCACTTGAGTCGCCTTGGTCTCGAGGAATTCGGACAGCCGCGCATGAAGGCAATAATCCCCTGGTTGAAAGCTCAAGTTATACTCGGAATGCAATATCTCAACGGATGCTGTCATAATTTTATCCAGTTCACTGTTTTGTCTCAATTGACGCTCGGCCTGAACCCAGAGATCATCGGAAATGGAGGCAGGCCTTTCTAGATCCTCACGCTTGGGTACCAGGCTTTTCGAAGCTTCAAAGCCCTCTTTGCTGGGAGAGGTGCCTCGAGTAGAAGCTTTTTCCTTCTCATGTCGTCTTTTCCTGAACAGTGAAGATTTGGCTTTGGAGAGAAGGTCGGGCATTTCTCGGCTGAATTCTGCGACGATACGCCTCGAGGAAACAATATAAATAGTT